GGCTGCAAGGCTGCCCGCAGCCTTTGCAGCTCCGGTTCATTCCCCGGCCGCCGGCAAGGGTCCCACCAAAAAAAAAAAAAAAACCTTCAGAACAGAGTTTAAGCTGTTTGGGTAAATATGAGGCCTCTCAGCATCTGATCTCCCCTCCAATCTTTCCTTGAAAGCTGCAGGCCCGCGGTCCTCAAATTTATGTACCCATCAGAACCATACCAGTCCTTGCTAAAATGTATATTCCCAGGCATTCAGTTCACTAAGTAACTGGGAGGACCCAGGAACATAAATATTTACAAAAAATATGGGTTTCGAATATATGGAAAACATGATTTTTACAAAGATACAAAATTCAAAATAGTTGTTTTTTCATCAAAACCAAAAATATGCCCCGATGCAGGCATTTGGGGCTCACTCTTTGAGAACAAATGGGACTGGAAACTCGAAGTCGTTAAGAAGCCACTGAATGTAGTGTTGAGACTAGGGGCTCAGGAGGAAAACCCCAGGGTCACTGAGAGAATAACTTAATGGTCCCAGACCTCTCTGCAAAATGTAGATAATGGGGCCTCCCCAGTGTCGCAGCGGTTGAGCGCTGGGTTGAGAAGCTGCCAGCGGCCTCTTGTAGAGCCAGTTCAATCCCCGGCTGCTCCCCGGCCACCGGAGGAGGGTCCCGCATGGCGCGCAGACCTCTCCTGCCGCCCGCTGCTCCCCTCAGCAGTGTACTTCGGGCCTTCTGCCTGTTCTGTTCCCGGCTCTGACTCTGGTGAGTTCTCTCACCCTCCCGCGCTTCTGACTGTACCCAGTGCTTGTATAAATAAATAAATAAATAAATAAATCTTTTCAAAAAAAAATGTAGATAATGACAGTATCTATCTTACAGAGCAAAATTGAATGAGAGAATCACTGTAGAACAGGTGGCACAGCATTTAGTATTGAACACATTCTACAACTGCAAGCAGTTACTGTTAGTAGTAGCGATACTATTATTATTAGAATGAAGCTGAAGGACAACAATAAAAAGTTTTGAATTTACAGCAGTAAATTGGAAATGGAAAGGACTTTAAGAATTCCTTCCTCAGCGTCACTGGCAGATATTTATCCACCTTGCCCAAAGGCTTCCCCTGACCGGGCCCGTGGCCATCACCTCCGGAGACAGCCTGCTCCATGGTTAAGTTACATCAGGTGTCAATGTTCTGCCTTAAATCTAGTAGGATTCTGCATGTCAGTTACTACTGTCCATGGATCCAAATCTTACGGAGTATCACAAAACAACACTATTCTTCTTTCTACATAGCAGTCATTCAAATGTTTGAAGGCAATTATGTCTTTCCTTGTGATTTTTCTTTTAGGATGACAATAAAGTATAGTGGATGAACTCTGAGAGTTCAGAGTTGGAGGCCTGAGCTTTGGTCTGTAACCAGCTTGGGTGTGCTTGGGCAAATCATTTGATGATGCTAAGCCTCAGTTTCACTCTGGTCCCAGATTGTATAATTTTATGATGAAATACCCTAGTTTTTCCCTCCACTCCTCAGGCTTAGACAGGTTTCTGGATCCCATTTATGCCATGGTCTTCTGCATTGCTTGACAAAAGCAGCACAGCAACCCTCCTTTGGAAAATTTCTGATCCTTCCACTTTCACCAAGTGGTTTGAATTGAAGCTGCCAAATTTGTAGACATTTCACATCCCAAACTATCAACATGGGCCTTTTGTAGTCTTCCAATGCCCTCATCACAGATAATTGACCTACAAGTAGGCCCATGATCCAAGTTCAACTAATCAGCACTCACCCCCTATCCTCCCCGCCACCTCATCCTGGGATTTAAAAATTTCAGGCCAGAAAAAATAAGTATCAATTCCTCTCAAGCTGGAATTGGAAAGAAGCATATCAGCTCCTAGGGGCTGTAGTTTTCCTCCTCAGAGATGACTCATTGGAGAATATGCAGAGACATAGAAAGGAGAGGTGGAAAGGTAACCCCCCAGAGGTCAAGTCCTTGCTTCCAGGTTATCTCTGGGTACCAGAAGTGCTCTTGCCCACCCCTTGGCTCATTCCTCCTTTGCCCAAGTTGAGTTTCTCTCCTTCCAAACATATCCAGAGCAATACAGTCACTTTTGGAAGCAGGCTTCAAGTGGTAACGGTACTAGCTTTTCTAGCCTCATATCTCCGCAACCTAATTTTCTACCCCCTCACCTTCTGCCAATAACTACTCAAGAAGGGTAAGTTGATAATACAAAAAGGGCTGTCACTTTCTCCAGCCTGACCACTCTTTAGAAGGGGAGCTCAAGACTTCATCTTAGAGTCATGCAGCCTTGCTGGTTCATACTGAGCCGCTGGGCCCCACAACCCCCAGACTCACTTTCATGTAAACCACAGAAGTCAGGACTACTATACTAAACCCTTTGCCAGGCTACAATTGTAGTTTGTTTTGTTTTTATTTTTTGTTTTTATTTTTTTTTAAAGATTTATTTATTTATGCATACAAGAGCTGAGGTACAGGCCAGAGAAGTGGGGGGTGAGAGGATCCACCAGAGATAGAGTGGGGAACAGAACAGGCAGATTGACTGAAATACACTGCTGAGGGGAGCAGCGGACGAGACAGGAGAGGTCTGTCTCGCCATGTGGGTTTCTCCCTGGCCGGCAGGGGATCGAACTCGTGCTGCAGAGGCTGCAAATTACTTCATAGTGCGGTGCTTAACCCCTTGCGCCACCAGGGAGGCCCAGTTTGTTTTGTTTTTAAGATGAGGTCTGGGACCTAATTGCAAATAAACACTGAGCCTTGTTAAATGTTGCATGTTGGATTAAGGCCAGAGTTTCAGTCTGTCAAATGGTTCTGACTCAAGATTCCATCATTAATGACAAAGTTGAGAAAGTTCCCAAGTGGTCTAGCAAATGGTATGTGCTACAGATGTGCCAGTATATTCATTCCCTCAGATCTCTGCTTGGAAAAAAGAATAAAGCTTGGGACTCTGAACCCACATTTGTGGCCTCCAACTCTGGCACCCTTATCATTTTCTGAGTATTCCTATTTCAAGTCTCCGTCGTTAAGGTAATGTAAGGACGCTAGTTTTTCATAGCATACATATATTTTCTAATAAGATGCCTATTTACAAAATTGTTTTCCACTTAAACATCTCTGCTTGGTAAATTTTAGTGTTTAGTCTCACCCACTAAGTCTTGTTTTTACTGCTTCTTCTCCCCAAGATTTAGGATTTCTCCATAATAAACTGTAAATGTGATGTGATTGGTTATACAGGGTAATTCTAGATTTTGCCAACGATACAAAATTTTATGAAGTTGATGAAAGTGATGTTGGAAAACTATCTGAATGGCAAGTGAAGCCACTGTCCGCTGGAGAGCTTACCTACTGAATAGGTAGGTAAGTCTACAGGGACACTGCCCAAAAACCAAAAGGGAATTATAATGCTGTATACCTGAAACTTATGTAATGTTGGAAGCCACTGTTATTTCCACAAAAATGTATTTTTTTTAAAAAAGCAAATAATAGGAATATATAATGATTGAGAGGAGGCCTTGGAAATCTATAAAAGTCAAATGTATTTCTATACAGCTGGTTTCTTCAAAAGTCAAATGTGAACTAAGGAATGTTATCTTGAGCTAATATAAAAAAATGTGTCAGGAAAATGTACTCAATCTCTCCTGCACAACACTTAGCAACAGCTGATTCAGTTTCTATGTGGTCTAAGAATTAGCATATAAAAATTAACATATAGCTGAAATCATCAAAACTGTTAATATGATCAAAGAAACTAATGTTTAGTCTTACTTTTCAAAATAAGTCCCAATCAAGGGCCTCCCCTGGTGGCGCGGCGGTTGAGCGCTGGGCTGCGAAGCTGCCCGCGGCCTCTGCAGCGCCGGCTCGATCCCTGGCCGCCGGCGAGGGTCCCACATGGCGCGCAGACCTCTCCTGCCATGCCCGCTGCTCCCCTCAGCAGTGTACTTCGGTCCTTCTGCCTGCTCTGCTCCCCGCTCTGGCTCTGGTGAATTCTCTCACCCTCCCGCGCTTCTGACTGTACCCAGTGCTTGTATAAACAAATAAATACATCTTTAAAAAAAAAATAAGTCCCAATCAAATATTTTTTAGTATTTATTATAAAATTTTGACCCTGCTAAAGTGCATCCAGTTCAACTGACCTTTACCCAGCATTAGCCATCTTTGAATTATGAGGGTCACCTGCACTTACATTGTCCCCTTTATTGCATCTGTCATTCATTGTTCCTTGTCTTGTCCACTGTAGAAACACAGAAAATCCCATCCCTCTACTTTTAAAAACTCTGAAGACAGTTTCCAGAGTTCCAGTGAAACTGTTTTTCTCCATAACAAGCTCTTTCCTTACGCCATTTATCACCTAATAGATTTTGAAATCCCCCCACTCACTCCATTCAGTTGATAATTGACTGAGGGCATACAATGTGTGAAACACTGGTCTGTTCCCTAGGGAGGTTTACCTTCTATTGAAGGAACAATAAATGAAATGAATGAGTGAATGGACAGACAGAAGGATGGATGGATGGATGGATGGATGGTTGGATGGATGGATGGATGAATTTCTGAATTTGCCTCCCATTTAAATGATGCACACTTCTCCAGATGAGCTAATCAATGCAGAGTAAAGGAGGGACCTCTTCTTTAACACCAACACATCTGCTCATAAACCTTCATGTTGCTTTTTTTTTTAATGTAGGTGAGATTACTCAGGTAACATTGTTTAGCTTGCCTCCAACTGAAACCATCAGATCTTCTTGCAAATGTTACTCTTAAAATATATAATATATCCTTCATTCTGTTCTCGTACAACTGTTGAATTATTTTTTGGACCCTGAGCAAGATTTTATACTGATCCTTATTAATTTTCAACTTATCTTTAGCCCATCCTGCAGCTAACACATATTTAGATAAACTAAAATGTGAAACTTTCAAATTGTGCAAATTTACTAATATAATGCATCAGCATCACTGCTGGCTACAAACTTAAGAAGAAAAATGCCAGTTTTATATGTGCTCACTTTCATAATACATACTAAAATTGGAACAATACAGAGAAGACTGGCATAGTCCCTGCATGAAGATGACATGCAAATTTGTGATGCATTCCATATTTTTAATAAATAATTTAATTTAATTAAGTGCTTGAATAAAGATACTCTAAAATTTTAGACTGCTAATCACTTCTTTGAGAAAAGACTGCTCTGCCTAAAAGCCATAGTTAACCTGGGCTCTATGTTACCATTAAATAGTATTGCTAAGCATTGGCCATAACTACCAACCATGGCTTTTCTTCTCTTTTCCAAGATGGATGTTCCGGAAACTCATTCTTCCCTTAATGTATATTTGTTGACTTACAAATATGAATTAACAGTCTCCAATAGCCACAAATTATGTAATGCTATGAGAGTCCTCTGACTCCTCTAGGTCTTACTCCACTCATTTTAAACTAAAGGGTCAGATGACTCCAAAGTTTCTTTTTCTAGAAATGTTAATATATTTCCATCTTGTTGACTCAGTGGCTCCCTCCCTCTGTTTTCCAATCACACCCTCTCAAGCTAGATTGTTTCCAGAATATGGGCAAGTTATAATCACATGGACACCCCGGACCATGAAAAGGACTGAGGTAAAACAAGGTTGAAGGATTTCTATAGCCTTTGGGACTCTGAATTCAAAATGACCATGAAATAAAAATAAGTATGCAGGCTGCCATATTAGGGCACTACATTTGAGCGTTACAATTTTTCCTGAAAAACTTCTAAGGTGAAAATGTTTTATGATCATTATCAAAGACTTCTCTGGAAATAAACCAAGGCCTTAAGAAATGATATTCATAAAGTTTTAGAAAATGAAAGGGGGAATCTGTTTCAGAACAAGAACAGGTTGACTCCATTTGGAATGCTGAATCCTACAACAGAAATGTTTTCCCACATTTTACAAACTTAAAGAAAAAAAAATTACTCAACAGCTAACACCAATACTATTTTATCCACTAGATTTAATGGAATGTCTATCTTACTGTAGATTTTAACCATAGCTTCACACACTGGTGATACATGTAAAAAGGAAGCTCGTTTTAGTGCACTTTAAAAGTAAGCATTTTCATTTCATTACCAGCCTTCCCCTATTTCCTGTGTTATCAGATGTTCGAGAGAGAGCCAGCAGTCTGTTTGTGAAACTGGCAACTTGGTAGACAAAATAGGCATGTTCAACAAGCATTCTTTTAAATTAGAACTTGAATGAACCTAACTGGAGAACGATAGGAAGATATGCAAAAAGCATAAATCTAGAAGAAAAAGTAACAAGAAATACCTAAAATAACTGAACTAATTCTAGAGATTTCCTCCAAACGCTACAGACTTCTTCCCTTTAATGATCTGCTTCAAAAAGGAGACACCCAGTTTAATCTCTGCTACTGACAGACTCACGCACACCCCACGGAGCTAACAATTACAATTGTTAACTATCTCCTATAATGGGATACAGATTCTTTTGTGGGACAAGTTCGCATAGTCTGGTACACTTTTAAGTATGGACACAGTTGGAAAAAAAAGCACCCTGTAAACCTTATCTCACTTTGAATCAATGTGTTATTTCTGTCTATGCACACCCTATGTGACCACAAGACAAACCTGCTCCATGGAAACGCTGACAACCCAAATGGCACCAGCAGCTCACGCCCTTCTGTAGGATGCTCATAGAAGGGATGTCTATTTCTACAATTGGGACATTCAAAATGGGCCCAAGAGTAAGGAAAATTGACACCATTCCATGGACAGTGTCCACAGAACACACACCCATCCACACATCCATTTATCCCCCACTTACTAGGCACCTACTACACATAACACATTGTCACTGGAGACCAGCATTTTCTTAAAAAAACATAAACACAGTGAATATAAAATAGTCTCCAAGTGGTTTTCCCCCACAGAAAAGGCAATGTTATCAATTATTGTTTTTATTCATTTTGTATCTTAGAAAACCAACCAACTGCTGTTTAGATCTAAATTTTACCAAACTGTCTAAATTAAGAAGCTTTCTGCCCAGAAGTCCATATGACAAGCTTATTTTGGTTTCATAATTTCTCCAATGGGCAGATGAAGAGTCATTTATGGCATAAATCAGACTATTTTCTCAATCATTCCGGACATACTCTTGGTCATGTAAATGGTGGTGGAAACTAAATTGAAAAGCTGTCAAAACATCCTGCAGTAACAGGGGAATTAATAGACCCATTCAGTCATGCATATTTGCTCCATTTCCCCTGTACCCATTATCTTCCTATGAACCCACATTCATAATTCTGCATGTAGACCATAATAAATATGGTCTACGGTTTACGTATAAAATGTAAAATACATTCTTTTCATTCCCACACAGATAATGGCATAATGTTATATTTCCCTAAGACTGAACTTGGGCTAATGTCCATAAACAGAAAGTTATTATTATGTCATTTAAGATTCTATTTAAAATTCTGTTGTGGAGGATAACTTGTTAGCAGAAATAATACACTATCACTTATTAGGGTTTAAAAAATATCAGATAGAGACCAAACAATGCAGTATAAGCAAAGTCACACAGAGCTGGAATCACAGCATTTCATATCCCTTAAGTCCTGAGATGTCAACTGCACTCCCCACAGTATTTTCAGAAAGGCAAGAACAGATTCAGGGTAACCAAGCAATTTGCCCAAGGTGGCATACCCAGTGAGTGTCAGAGTCTGAAATACTACACCCCTATTCTCTTACTTGTCACAAAGATTGTAGTAACCTAAGAAAATATCAATACAAATTTGACAAGAGTAAATTACTTGACAAAAGTAAAAATGTGACTTGATAAGTAGTTTTTCCCTCTTCACATGCCTCCAGCCTACATCAAGCAAGCGGTAGGGCAGACGTCACAGCAATAAGACAAACCAATACCACATCACTTCCCCTTACCCAGAAGATCAGTCTAACGAAGCCGAGAAAATGCTAAGGATTTTGCACAAAAGAATTTAACCTGAAGCTCAACCAACTTGGATTAACTGGGTACAAATTCAATTCCTCCCTCTAGGTACATAAACCACCCCCTGACTCTATCATCTTTCTCTTTTAAGTCTCCTTGCTGAGAGTAAAACATGACCATATTAGAAAATTTAAAACACTGGAGAAATGTCTAAAACAAAAATTTCAAATGTCCTCCATCCACTCAAAGCAACCACTATCAACAATTTCTTGTGGCTCCTTCCAGGGAAGAAGTTACATAAATAATGACACACATAAATACTAGCATAATGCAGACACTAGCCTATATAAATATATATTAATATATAAAAATATTTATGTCGATATACACACAACTTTAAAATATTACATATATATATTTATGTACATGTCCCATGGTGTGACTGCTTGGTAGGGCACCAGGAGCTCAGTCTTCCTAAGTTCAGATGACAGGCTGGTGGTTTCAAAGATCGAAACTGTTCTATTAATCAAAGCTATTTTTGTCTTAATTAATACTGTATTTCTAGGTCCTGGAAGCACAGCTAAACAGCTGACAAAATAAGAGAGGGGCAAAGAAAGGGGAAGAACGAGGAAGAAAAGCAAGAAAGAGAAGCTGGGTCAAGGAAAGAAAGAAAAAACGATACATGCAAGTGCTAAACACAGACCAGCACCTTTCTGAATGAATGAATAAAGAAACCACATATGAACTTTTATGATATTAAAATGCTTACTGATAGGGCACCATTTTCTGAAAAGTAAGCATACTTCTCAAGGTACACTATCCAATATGATCGTCACTGGCCACACATGGCTATTGGATGTTTGAAAAATAGGTTTTCTAAGTGTGAATTGCATACCAGATTTCAAAGACTTAGTATGAAAAAATGATAAAAAAAATCTCATGAGTAATTTTTATATTGATTATGTTAAAATGAGACTTTTAAATATATTAGATCAAGTAAACCATATTATTAAAATTATCTTTACCTGCTTCTTTCTGCTTTTTTCTTCACTATAACTGCTAGAAACTTACACCTTCGCACGTGATTCACACTATACATTTTTTTTTTGATAGAGCTAGTCTAGAACACAGATATCATTATAGCAGTTACTGTGTCTGTCCTTCCCTGCTCTATCCCTGCACACAGCACAGGTCTTGGGAATAATAGATTCTTGGCACCAGAAGAAAGGCAGGCTGTGGCATCCAGATAAGGTAGTAACCTTACAGGCCTTGGGCTACACGGCCATCATCCTAACCCTTGCTCTAAAAAGTCAAAATAAGGGTGGTGGGAATTGTATGGGGAATATAACCAAGATGAAAATGCATACATTGTACAAAAATGAAAAATGATTTTAAAAATATATAAAATAAAATTAAAAATAATAAAATTTAAAAAATAGGGCCTCCAGTGGCACAGCGGGTTGAGTGCAGCACTGTGAAACTATTCGCAGCCTCTACACCACCAGTTCGATTTCCGGCTGGCCAGGGAGATTCCCACATGGCAAGGCAGACCTCTCCTGTCTCGCCCGCTACTCCCTTTAGCAATGTATTCCGTCCATCTGCCTGTTCTGCTCCCTTGTCTGTCTCTGGTGAATTCTCTCACCCTCTCACGCCTCTAGCCTGTACACCAGTACTTGCATAAATAAATAAATCTTAAAAAATAAAATAAATAAATAAAACAAATTTAATAAATAAATAAATAAAAAGCAGCTGGGGGCCTCCCTGGTGGCGCAAGGGGTTAAGACACAACCTATGAAGCTATCCACAGCCACTGCAGCACGAGTTTGATCCCCAGCTAGGGAGCTACCCACATGGCACAGCAGACCTCTCCTGACTCATCCCCTGCTCCCCTCAGCAGTGTATTTCAGTCGATTCGCATGTTCTGTTCCCCACGCTGGCTCTGGTGAATCCTCTCACCCCCACCCATGCCTCTGGCCTGTACTCCAGTTCTTGTATGCATAAATAAATAAATCGAAAAATAAATAGATAAATGAATGAATGAATGAATGAATAAATAAATAAATAAATAAAAGGCAGCTGGGTGACTAAACCTGCTGGGCCCTGTTTTCTTCTTTTTTAAAATGGAAATAATGCTTATAGAGACATATAAGCATGGACTAAATGCA